CTAAAGGTTGTGTGTAATTCATAAAACTAGCCTTAAGTTCTAATGATTTTGCCTTTTCTGTTCAACACTTTTCTACAAGTGTTGTTGTAACTATTCCCCAGAGTGAGCTAAAGTGACAGGTCATCAATAAGCTGGCAAACAATAAGTGAAAGAACCTTTGCATTATGTTTTAATTTCTCCTGTGGTTCATTGCTTTTATGTCTAAGGTGTGCAGAGCATAGGGAAGAATGAATGGTCAGCACTGTTCAATATTTCACCATTTCACCACTAAACACAACCACTAACCAGCTGCCCCAGATGCTTGCCCTCAAGGAAATATTTCCTTTGCTCATCACACAATCTAACCTTTGTGCTCCATTTTAAAACAGGATCAATAGCAATAGAATAAAGTTGTTAGAAAATCCCTCCAAGGAATGAAAATTGTCCCTTTCCTTATTGAGTTTTCACAAAAGGTTTGTTCTCAATCTTAAAATGCTTTAAGGTAAATGTGAGGCTAAAGCTATAAAAATATACTCAGGGGAACTTTTTTTTTCATAACAAATATATTTATGCAAAAAATCATTCAATTTATTCCTAAATTAGTAAAATAACAATAAGAACAATAATAATACATTTTTTATGATTATTTTAGACCCACGTTTATGCTCTTTTTTTACATTTTGCTCAGTGTTTTGAGGCACACCATCTAAGATTGGCAGGTCATAACTTTAAAACTTGCCATGTTTTGAGGTGTTACCATTTAAACGATGCTTTCAGGATAGGATTCCCTGCAAAAGAAAAATGCTCTGGAGCTAATCTTAACTATTAAACCCTAAGTGAACTCTTGGGGTTTATCCTGAATCTAGTTTCAGTGTGTATTCACTCATTTCAACTTCAGTCGAAGAGGAACTCCTCCTAATGTTTAGTGTTTTGGATTACACTTAGCAAAAGGCATGGTGCTGAATAGATAACTCTGCCAGCCTACGTTTGCATTTCTATATTTTTAGCTTGCGCTCCTCTTGGGGAACAACTACTGGGCTCAGAAAGGAAAACTTACTCTGCAAGGCTTTAGATGGATATTATTTTAGATTTTTTTTCTCCACAGGCCCAGACATTGGGGCATGAATAATAGCTGCCTTCTCAGTAGTTGGTCCTTTTTCCACAGCAATAAAAGACTACAGGGACTAAGGTTGGCCATGAAAACGCAGATCCTGGGAAGTGAATGGTAAATATTTTAAGCGCAAGAGAAACCCTTGTGCATGACTCAACCTTTGAGCTTCAAGGTTGAAGCTAATTCACAAGCCACAAAAAAGCATTTGGTAAATTTCAGAGAACTGCTGGTAGGGAAGAGAATGTGTATCTGTGTCTGTATGTAAGTGTGTGTTCATAGAAGGGAAGGTCTGATTATACTACATGGACCTGATACTTAGAGCAAGAGTTATTGTAGCTATTAAGGCTGGCCAGGCTATTGAAGCAGTGTGAGTCTTGGCCATACCTGCCAGCACCTCATTAATAAAATTAATCACATACTGCAGCTATGCATCAGCCCTTGCAGTATACAGTTCAGATGAAAAGAGGTGTATCTGTCAAACTGTTTACATTAGATCCACTTTAAGGGTCAAAACAATTAGAATTTGTACAATAAGGTATAATGTAGTTTGACAAGAAAGTGGTCTCCATTAAATTGAACATATTCATTTATAAGTTACACTGATATGATTACTTTTAGTTTCACGTCCAGTTTTTGCATTTATTACATTCAGTTTTAAAGATCTCAATAGAATCAGTTAAGTTGGACTGTTTATATCTTGAATTGTTTGTTTTACCCTTAATCTTGATCATTTCAAAATTCACTTTTCTCAATCTCAAAATGCTTCAGAGGTGCAGAACTATGCTAAAGGTTAAATGAGGATGATTAAGAATGAGATAACCAAAATCGTTCTTTCTGTCTGCTAATTAGCTGGAATCTTACTGTCAGTTCATGTCTTATGTTCCTGAGTTCTAGTTAATAAATAAAGTTAATCTCATTAGACATTTGTCTATGAACCTGCATTTGGGTCTTTTTTTTTTTTTTTACTATTAATGAATTACAATTTCAGTTTTTTAGCTTTTGAGGTATCTTTTTCTCTCATTAAGTTCGATTTCATTGATATACATAGCCCAAAACTTAAACAGATGTCTTTCAAGGAGACTTAACAGATGCATTTTTCCCAAATGTCTATTTACAATAGTGCATATTTGGTATAAAAACACAAATCACCTAATATTTCAATCATAGCCTGCAGTAAAACTATAAAGATGCAGGTGAGCACATCTGAAAGACACCTACAAATACTGAAGACATTTTTCCAACAATTTTGTACTTTAGAAAAAGTTTTTTTTCTTAACGTTTGAGTATTGGATTAAGGCAAAAAAAATAATGAACACTTGTTTTGGAGCTATGGATGTCCTTCACATTTTATGAAGCAAAAATGCTTCATCCTTTGATTTGGGTCATCATATGCTTTTTGTTGAAAGAGCAAGACTGGCAGAAGTAGAGCTTTAAAAAGAAAATGGAACTCCTAAAAGAACTTTTCAGAATATGCTAATATTCTACATAAAGCCAATAGAGTTAGAGCCTTAATGTGTATTTTCTCCACACAGGCGGTTGACTTTATTAAAAAGACGAAACATCATGGGGGTTTGTGTCGCTCCTCAGATGTTTGGTTTCATCCCAAGGCTGTGAAAATAAGTGGTAATAAATCAAGTAGACACATGAAGACAGATAGAGTGGTATCCTGTGACTGAGAATGCCGTAAAGAATTCTGATATGTAGATTCCCATAAGATACAACTGAAAAGCTTGACATTCCTTGTGTCCCTGCACTACCTAAACAGACATCAGAGAAGAAACCAAAGAACACCGGTGATGAACATCCAACATTATGCTGGAAGCCAGTTATCAAACAAGATCTTCAGAGAGATGAAGGGTAGGCAGAGGAGAGAACAGGGAAAGCTGCAACAAAGGAAAATGAGGGGAAAATGTGGAGGGGGACTCAAGAGTCCTGTGAGACTAACAAGATGGTAATTTACAGAAAGGATGAGTGATAGAGTAAAATTATTCTGCGATTGTGGATCTGGAACAGTAAAAGTAAGGGTAGACTGACCTGAATAGTGGGAGAAAAAACATCTGCAATAAAACTTTCAGTTTAGCAACACAGAAAAAGGAAAATTCAATTAAATATCTTGAGAAAAAAAAGAGCTAAATATACATGATAAAAATAGCCTATGTAAAAATGTCTACATTTTCAGTGAAACTCATCTGAAAAACCCTTAAAAGCCACAAGTAAGATAAAATTAGTTAGATTATTGTAATTATACCTCTGTTGCACTTTCTTTTCATGTCAACACTTGGTTACAGCATTTGGCTAAAGGCAGATATTCTCACAGTGGTTTTCAATTTTCTTTCCTGTTTTTTGCTTAATACAGTTTATGTAGGTTGCAGCAAAGCCAAAACGTCCCAATTCCCAGCATTGTCTTCCAGCTTCTCATAGAGAATGCATTCCCTATGAGAGGGCTTCCAGTAAGAATTTTGCTTTGGTACCCAAAATAACTCTTTTGGCTCTTTTAAATTTAGAACTGTTTTTAATATTGTTTAAAAAAATGAAACTAATGTTAGGAATAATGGTGTTATGTTCTAAAAAAGTAACCATGTCAAATGGATGACAAAACACTTCAGTCATATTAAAAATAATAAGAATGTACAATTAAAATTTGTATTGGTCTGATGTAATATTCTAATTTTAAACTGCCTTTTTTCTTTGGTTTTAAGCCTTGAATGTATATCAATTATATTTCAAATTGTGTCTAGCTTCCCTAGACTCAGTGTATTTTGAATATGACAATATATAACTATAAAGACAAAAGGAAATATCTTTACCTTGTGTAGTAAATATTCACAGAAAAACAACTGTCTTTGCATTTCTCAAGAGCAAGAACAGAAACAAAAAGACACAAATGGGTTAACCACAGAAACCTGGGAGATATTTAGGCTGCAATTCAAATGCAAACTGTACCTCACACATTATCAAAAGGAATCCTGGCACTTTATTTAGCAATGAGGGGGAAGGAGCTGGAGAAGCAGAAGAAATTGCAAGCAGTGTGTCATAGAGTTTATAATACCATTATACAATAATTGCAATAAAAGGTTCCATATGCTTGGTGTGATTAGCTTACAGATAGCAGTGAATACTACATAAATTTTGGATTGTGTGCATATGATTCCAGCTAATTGTTCTTCCAGAGACATACACAAAATGTGATGCAAGATTAAAATAAAAAAATATATATTTACTGTGAAGGAAGGTACTGTTCTGTGATTTGTACACAGACTCTCGTTGGCTTCCAATGGTACTGATGGTACTGATAAAATGATTAAAGTTTTAAAGGTGTTGTTTCCACGACAAAGAGGATTAAACTTATGATGCAGGCACAGCAGCTATATTTATAGAGAAATTAAACAGATTTTGAGACAATCAAAGATATCGGCAATGATGTTAGGATTGTGGAAGGATGGCGGGGGAAGCAGCTGTGAAGGCAAATACTTTGATTGCAACATAACTTTTACTGGAATTCATTTTTTTCAGATTTGCCCTAATCCAGCTCAAATGATCACAAAGGTCATGGATACTGTCCGAATCTGGCATAAAGCAGGATTTAGAACCTCCTCATTTTCCAGAAAGAAACAATAAATTTCCACACAATCTGACTTAAACTCTTGTTGTCTTGATGGTTCAGGATCCAGAGGCACATCAGAGTTTAAAATACCAAATGAAAAATCAATGTACTTGGTAGATTTTATGTTCTTGTATCACTGTTGAAAAAAAACTTTGCAACTTCTTTACACTCTAGAAGATTAACCATGTCAAAGGATTAAGGCAATGACTTTAACAGAAAAATAAAAGATGCAAGTGTAAAGGAGAAAAGTGAAATATAAAGCAGCATGCTCAGGGGGAAGTGGTGATAGGTGGGGTGTTACTGTACCTCTGCTGCCAGTGACTGTGGGGTCTGAGGCGTGGGTGCTTAACTGAACAGTAGGATCTGGAGGGATGGGATGTAGGGGGGGTGTGGTGGATGGAGGCAAGGTGGTGGGAGCGTCTGGTGAAGGGCACAGACAGACATACACAAAAATAATACAACAACAAATGAATTCACACAGAGAAGTGATGTTTGGGAGAACGGAGATAGTTCAGCATTCGTGACACCTCTTTGTCTAACTTAGAGCTCGTAATAGACTATTTAAAATGTGATTCAAACTAGTCACACATGTTTACTATTATGTGTTTAGTTGGTTATTTCAGGAACAAAAAGAAAAAAAAAACATTCAATGGGAGTAAGTCAAATTTGTGCAACTTGTAATATACCTTGTGGTGGTGAGACTGGAAATGTTTGATCACCCACTAAATAATTTTCTTGCATATGTGAGGCCAGTAAATTTCTGAACATAAATCTAGAAATGAATGGACAAGAACAGAATCAAAACTGAAATGTTGTTGCTTAAAATTTTATTGGTACTCCATATATCTTCATATATGGTGTCACATGATCTGTAACTTGTTCCTGACAGGAGAAAATGGAAGTGTTACACTGACCCATGTTACAAGCATCTTTGGTCTTCTTTCTAAGCAACACAAATGAACTCCAATCAATAACTATTTTACTACTGGCCAAGAATATTTCCAGTTTGTTTATGTGAATGTTTATTTCACTGAACTATATACCATTTTGTGTGTGTCATTGGCAAAGATACAGAGAAAGGTTTTAGTCAGAACCTTATTTGCAAGAACTCAACAGGGTCTCCAAGCCTGTAGAAGAGCATATGTGCTGACTTGTCATCTGTACATTAATAATATTTATGCAAAATCTCATTATTAAAGCAAAAGATGAAGTGATGTTACTTTGCTTAGATCATCAAATCATCACAAGTGAACAATCTGGCTAATATTAGTCAAAACCAATGACCTTTACTTTTCTACCTCCATTTTTAACTCTGTTAGAAGTAACCATAATATCTACATTTATTTAAAGTGACAAAGACAAAACATGTGCATGTTCACTGCAAATTGTCTTTGCAGTGATTTTAAATAGTATCCTTAAATGTGGGTCTCTCTTTTTAATAGCAATGGAAAAGAAATAACCTTGAATTGAATCTGCTAATGCTGTCTATGTCTCTGGAGACAGAAAGTTAAATTCCACCAAATGAAGACATTAATTTGACAAAAGATCTGTGCCAATTACACATTTTCAAGGGTGCTTTCAGAAGAGGTGATCGGGTCATCATTATCGCGCTCTGTTTCAGATTTCATGCTAGGAAGTGTTTCTCGCTGTCATCTGCTCAGGACAAAGAGAAAAAGGGACTGAAACATTGTGTGACCAAGTTAATGAGGTTACACTACCACCTTGGCTTTAATGTTTATGTCACTCTGCATTTTATGGTGAACCAGAGGCTTTTAATTGGCTGTAGTCGTCTTTCCCAGGGCCAACCGTCCTCTGTGTCTTGGTGACATTTGATCGTGACTCACAGAGCAGCTAACTGCATGTCTGCAGGAAATGGGTAGGAGAGAAAACGTCTCCCCCTTGGAGCAGGACCATTAAAAAGGTATTTTTCAAGAATTATGGAGGCAGTTGTAAAAGGCTAAAAGGTGTGCTAATCACTAATGAAGGGTAGAAACAGGCTTGGTGCCATTTCAGGCGAAGAAGTAATGAATCTGAATAGGCTTCTTTGACCCTGCTGTACCCAATAGCCTTTTTTGTGCAGCCAAATTTGTCAGTTTAATATCATCTGCGTCATTATGAGCATTGGTTGTTCTAGCTTTTAGCTTCAGCTGGCATTTAAAGGAATTGTTAGGCACAGACACATAACCATGGTGTGTGAAAATCCCATTAATTAGGAGATGCAACATTTATTCTATTCATCAAAAAAATTAACAAAATGGTATGTGGAAGAAGTTGATGAATGGGTAATATGAAGTCTTGAAAAATAGTAAAACAAATGATAATGTTCATACCTAATTTGCATCTATCTGTTCATTTTTGTTAATGAGATAAGTTTCATTCAAATGTATCTTTCTTACATCTATCTGAAATCTTTTTGTAAAAGCCGCACTATATATTGCTTTATCATGAAGGATTTAAATACAAAAAAAGGTGAAAAAAAATTAGATGGTATGCCTAATTAGCCAGGCATGATCCTAATTTGTAGCTCTCAATGCATAAATAGACCATTTAGCTAATTATGGCAGCAATAGACTTGTAATTAACATTATTGCATTTGAAATGATCTGTAAAAAACATTGCATAGCATTTACAAGAAAAATGCTAATTTCCATATTTGCAATTAATTTGCTACATTAACAGTGGATTAAAATTACAGCTAGAAACATTGCCAATTACCTGTATGATATGATTGAGCTTTTTCTGCAGTAGCATTGACCATGACAAGCTAGATTTTCAAGCTCCATGACTCTGACATCCAATGACAGGCCAATGACATTACTAAAACTTGCTGGATGGAAAATGCAACATTGTTGTTTACTGATGAGGCTGTCTGCAGAAAGGAGTGGTACTCTATTACAGTTTCATAACAGCAAGATAGAGGACGAAGGGAAGGAGGGGGAGCCCTGGCAGGAAGAGGACTGAGGTATACTGAAGTGGGAGGTGTTCATTGAAATGAATGGTATGCAATGGTCTGTTATAAATGCAAGATTGTTAGTGGGTTGCTGGACAAATTTTAACTTGACAAAATTATAATCTTACCTTGAAATACAATACTGTATGTTTGGATTCTATTATAACAAATAATCATGTTTTATCAGTTATTTAAAACTTAACCACTGGGAATATGACTTTGTTTTACATTATCAATTGCTAAAACCTACAAAAATCAAACGCATTTTCACCCTAATGGTCAAAATTTAGCCACATCCATTTCCAGTTGGGTCAATGACTGGTCCACACTATCAAAATATGTGCAAAACTGTTTCAGATTGGAAAAAAAAAATGTCTGGTGTCTCCCTAACTTTAGTACTTTCGTTATTTGTTCAATGAGTTTATTCATTTAGGTCTTGTAAAATGCTGCTCATTTTTTTCCTGTTTGTTAAACTTTTTAGTGTGCTTTTTGTTCCTTCTTTTTTCTTTTTTAGAAAATTTGCTAACTTTAGTTATTCTTATAATGTCCTTTATGTGGGAAAATGCGATTTGATCAGCCCTGACCAGTGACCAGTTGCTGGAAATTTCAAAACTGTGATCGTTTTCACAATCAATTAATATAACATTGTTTTCTCCTTACTCATTCTGTCTTCTCAGTCCTACCTTTTGCTCTTCCTTTCACATGCTGAAAACTTGTGAAGTTGACATAGTATATGTCAAGTTTGACAAACATAACTTGACATATATTATGTTTTTCTTGTTTTTTATTCAGATAAGTCTTTGAGATAAAGCAAATGTAATATTCTTGGACCAACATACCAACATTCGTGTAAACTGTTATCGATCTGCTGATAGACACTTCTTTTTGCCAGTCATTGCAAGCTGTCAAATGTCTCCAAATGTCTCAGTTGTCACTGCTCTGCTTATACTCTTTTATATTTTTTATTATTTAATACCAGGAGACAAATGGCAGAGCAGGAACAGAAGGGAGAAAGAACTATCTGTTTTTCCTGACACTGAGTCGCTTTATCCTCCACCTCCTCTGGCGTTACTAGGAATTACTTATCATGATATTCTTGACAACGCAGCACTAAATTCTGCCTCCCTCACACATTTCCCTTTAGGTATGAGTGTGCGGGTGTGTGTGTGAGAGAGAGGGAGAGAGACTGTGTGGAGGATCTGGGACAAAGGTTTATTTAAGGAAAGGCACTGGTGGCGTTTGTGGCACCTGAGGCCTATATTTTCCTTGGGAAGGATGGCACCCCTAATCACTTTTTGCAGTTATACACTATGCAGATCAGGAGGTATTATAATCCTGTTTATGCAACTCTTTTTCCACTATTCATGTGAAGTATAAATGGAAACCAAGGAGTCATTTTGTAGGTTGTACTATTTTAACCTATTTTTTTTGAATAGGTTTAAGTAATTTCATAATAAGGAGAACTCTATATGTTTATTTTTGTCTCTCATTGCATCAAACACAATCACTCACATATCAGCCTTTCCCTTGAACTCACCATACACATAGAGTACATATTCAGCACTGCTGGTCCCAAGATGGTTGCTGGCTTCACAGCGGTAGGTCCCGTTATCTGTCTTGTTGAGTGAAGAAAAGGTGAGCTCCCTCCCCTCGACAGTTATCCTGTCAAGGTCAGGAAGATCACCACCGTCCTTCGTCCACATCACAGGATCCGGTCTGTAATTTCAGATTTTTTTTGAGAAAGGTCAAACTCACTTCAAGAATGAAGATTATAATAAAACATAGGAAACTAAAACAATGGACAGCAGAAAACACTTACGAAGGGTTTCCTCTGGAGAAACACTCCAGCTTTAAGTTTTGGCCCTCCTGAGGGACAGTTGTTGATTTAATAATTTCCACACGAGGAGCATCTAGGATAAACAGGAAGAGTTTCAACTAATGGTAAGAGAAATGCCTTTAATATTTGTAAAACAATTCTCTCTTATAATTATCCTACAGATAAGGATAAGTGGACAAACAATCCTCCCATTAAGACAGACTTTTTTTTTTAGATATCTTTAATTCTGAGAGCAACAATTCAATTTTTTTTTAAAAAGAAATGGCACCTCATTTAGTACCAAGGTTTTCATGCAATGAACTCCAAATGTAAAGTTTATTATGCCTTTTGATGGATTGTGTGTCTTTACATTTGTCACACCAACAACAATGTACAATTGTCATTACTGAACATGCTGCTGATGTTCAAAACAGCTAAATTTAGGGGAAAAAAAATCATAATCAATATAAAATGTTTTTACCACAGACTATAACTACATGTATCTGTCTAAATTTAGTGCATAATTTTGTGCTATGCTCTATTGCTATTTTAATTTTTACTAATGTCCAGATAATCCTCTTTTGTTCGCCCTTGATCACGTGTTTTGGAGATATACTCACAGTGGACCTCCAGTACTTCGGTGGCCTGTTGGGGTGCCTGTGCGAGTGCAATATGGTCTACTCTGCAGGTGTAGGCCACGCCATCATCATTTCTGTCCACATGTAGCTGTAGAGAACTCCGCACCGTAAAAGTCTTCCCACTTGCATTCACCTCTTTGGCACCTATGAAGAGAAAACAATGGCAGAATGTCACCCGAGCAGAACACCGCACTTTGGCAAAGCATTGTTTAAATAAAAGTAATGGCTATGTTTCACATTAAAAACAACTGTATATCCATTAAATATGGGTAATATCCAAAAAGCATGGACATGCAATTCAAAAAAGTTGAATTATGCATTTAAATTTTGCGGCTAATTATTATTTGTCTTGTTTACGTCTTTTCTGCACTTCCAGGACATTCAAGCATAACGGTGTTCTTCTAAAGATTGTGGTATCATCAAGCTCAAGCAGATGGGAAAAGAAAAAAAAAAGTCTTCCTGAGCTTTGGTTTATGTATCTGCATCAACATGGACACTTACTCCTGTGAGGAACTGACAATAAGGTCAACAGTAACCATTACATGAAGATATTCTTTGTAGACGAGCATTTTGAGCTCATGCGGGTTCAAATGTTAATGTTGTGTTAGGCCACTTTTTTGGCTGTATACCCTTCAACAAAAATACAGATGAAAGGAAAAATAAATAGCACTTTTTGACTATACACACTCCTATTTACCACTTCTATTTGTGCATCCCACAGAATCAATCTCAGCTTGATCTCATACTGTTTAATACTTCTTCTCAACTTTCTACTTCTGCACAACTCCGTCAAGCCTAACACAGTCAAAAACTCAAATGTTTGTGTTTCAGCAAACTATCACCTATTACACCTATTCATCTAATCAACTCCTTGGCAGAGCAATCCTCACACCTGCTTCTAACTCTGTACAAAAACTGCTGACCCACATTTTTGTGTTCATTAGGAATGCAATCAAAAGCTTCCTCCAATAATTTGCATAATGTCCACAAGTTTTGTTTGTTTATCAATTAATTATTTCAACTTTCTGCTTCATGCAACTCTAAAAATATAACAGAACAGATAAATGTGTTATTTAAAAAGTTAAATGAGTTTGACTAGATTATGCTGAAGTCCCTTCTATGTGGTTTGGGTTCAGACATTTATTTCCTTGAGACTATTGATTTGAGTTTACATATCAAACTTTCTTCAAGCTTTATTTACTTCACAATAATTTATTTAATTTAGTTCATTTTCTTTGTGGAAAATTTAAGTTCAGATCTTCTTAAACAGCCCCATATCTATTTGATACTATGTCATCGGTTTCAATCCATTTTAGGCCAGAAAAAGCATTCAAAGGAATTTTGAATTATTTGAACACAAGCCATATAAAACTGTGCTTAGCATATTATGCATAGAGTACATCCTTAATATTTTTCAAAGTGTTGCTGAAGTTACTGTGACGGAATGATAAGTATGAGGGAAAAACAGATATATTCAGAAAAGGAATGTGAAATTATTTAATCATACTTTACTTATATAGTTATACCTAACTATATTAGGACAAAAACACAAAAGGTCCAGCAACTCAAAAGATCAAGCATAACATAAATGCAATTCAAAATGTCATATTCTGTAAGTTAAATTAAATTAGACAATTCAGATCAAATAGATCTTTTAGTAGGGGTGAAACATGATCTAATTCAATTTGCCAAGCGATAATGCCTTATCTAGTCAATGTCAACATACAGTTGACAAAAAAGAAACATGTATCAGTTTTTTTCACTGTCCAAAGTTAAATCATGCCAAACGTCTCCTGTTTGAGAGAAGTTAGAATCTAAATTATCTCCATTTGCTAAATGTCACAATAATAAGAAAAATAATTAATGTCTTCTAAATCAGAACTTGAAATATGCAGCCAAGAGGTTGTAAAGTGATGTAAAGATGCAGCAGGGAGTTTTGAATTACTCCCTGCTGTAATTCAAAACTCCCTTTGTATTTAATCTGAAAATATGAACAAGTGCACCCTACAGGTCCCTCGCCTTTGCTCTCTGCTGCACTACAACTGTCCATCTGCAGCTCCTGCCCCACAGGAAAGCCTGCTGAGTAAGTAAATTGTTAGTCTTTATGTAACGTTAGGTTCCTTATTTGTCATTAGTACAGCTGCAGCACACTGGCAATATTCAGCTTGAATGGCAATACGCAGCACGGGGTTGAAAGGTATGAACAATAAAAAACGTTGGGTTGCCAAAATAAGGCTACATAAACACCAAGAAAGCCTTCGCCAGTTTTAAAACGTTTGTGTAATTGACTTTTGGGTTCTCAGCAGAAAGATAGAAACAGTGACACAATGACCAATAATTTGAAAGCACAGTGAGATTACCATAGTTGACTAATAAGGCTGAATTTGGCATTGGCTATAAAGAGCTATTTCACAGCTTTTCAAAGAATTTAGACTGAATTATGTCATGTCCAGTTAAAAATAGAAAATATTTAGACCAATGACCTTACGTTTTACCAAATGGGCCAAAATCATCAAGCTGAAACAGAAAAATAATTGTATTTTAAAATATCTAAGTTTTATTTTTGCAACTTTCAATAATTAAAATAAATATTTGCTCCATGTGTTGTGCATTTCTTACAATGACCACGTGTTTGTGCCTTCTGAAGAAGCCATTTATTCTCTGCATCCCTACCCCCACACTGCTGAGCTGCTCCACTTTCCCAGCATCCCTCCTTACTGTCTATTCTACCTCTAAATTCTGCCAATCAACTATTCTGTTGAGCCACTTCCACCAACTGAGGCTATAAGAATGGCTCCCCAAGAGATGAATGACTGACACCTCTGCAGAGTTAGCAGCATCCATCCAATCAACAATTGACAGTGAATATGGATGGATTTCTTTATAAAGACTAAAGTGAAACATATTATTTTTTTAACCCAATGAAGGTATCAGAGGCGCAAACATTTTCCATTCATTTTTATTTGTAATACTTGCTCCGTAGAAACTGTTTCTGTGTCTTTTCATCTTTCTACCAGACTGACTTGAATTTATTTTTCTTGCCCAAATTGATATACTCTTTAAGCAACACATTGGGTTTGTTTTTTTTCCTGTTGTTTTTCTGTTTCTCTTTGTTCCTCCATACTTGCAAGCAATCTCTTATATTTGTTTTCTGTGTGATGTTTCAAATTGACGGTCACTGTGTGGTATGATTCAAAAGGAGAAGTATAAAACTGACAAACATTCTTCTTTTAAAACCATCAACTGAAAAGACTAGATACATTTTTAAAAAGCATAAGTAAGACATTATTATAGTACATATACCTATGTAAACTCCCACAAACTGTGTGTGCAAAGGTGTCTGCGAATATTAGTTTAATTAGTCTAAAAATACAATATCCTAACACATTTTAAACATAGCCAAGACTGACAACTGCTAGTAAGGCTCTGGCATGCCAATCAAAAAAATATATTTTTTTGATTGAACTTTATATATATATATATGTAAACTCTGTAAATATATATTTACAGAGCTCTGGAAAAAATTAAGAGACCACTGCACTGAACAACATTGAAAACCTCATGGTCATTCCACCGAATATTGATTTCTGAACTCTTCCTTAGTTAAAACATTAGTATTGTTGCTTCAAAATGAATATGAACTTGATTTCTTTGCATTATTTGAGGTCTGAAAACATTTTGTTTCATTGTGTTTTTATTTCCTTTTTATTATTCTATTGCTAATGTTACCAGTGAAGCAATTTGGTCACTTTGGTAAGAGTGCAATAAAAATAATGAATAATTGATAAAATAATAGTATTCTGTAGACCTTACTCTCTCAAGCTTTAAAAACAAAAAATAGACTGTATACTGTGAAAAGTACAGCAATGGCTCAGAAACACTTGTTAAACGTTATCAGTGAAGACAGCGTATTGCTGCATGTCAAATCTTTTAATAAAAAAAAGATGAACAGTAAGTAAGTTCTTGAAATACTGGCTATTATCTGAGGGCCCAAGGAAATTAACATTTTCTAAGGTAAGGTAGAAAACTGGCTCTTGATCTACTGAATCCAATTAGAATTTATTTTTTTCAGGGGGAAATCATGGACCATTTGTCCTTGGAGCTAAAAAAACACATTTTAAATTGCAGTTTAAATGCAGGCTTTAGATAACTTGCATAATGAGAAAGAAAGCAGGTTCTTTTCTATATAACACAGTTTTTATCATATACAGAAATGAAAACCACCCTTTGTACAAAAATAATTTTTACCAAGAAAAAGTACTGCAGAGCTGTAACATAAATTTAACATAATTAAACTCTGAGACAAACTATTAAATATGCTAAAAAAGTCAGCTTATTCTACATTCTAAAGTAAAATAAATAATAAGCATTTTTTGGACATTTGTTCTCATTTTTCAGCTTAAGCACCATTCAGTTTTCATTATTTTAGGTACTTTGAAAATCCATAAATAACTTTTTAACAGCTGCACAGAATTTAAAAAAAATATTCACATTTAATAAGTAACAAGTAATTTTGGAAAAATAAAGAAAAAGTTAGAGTATTCTACAAAAAAAATAGAAAGGGGTACACAGTTCTGCAATATTCACCTGTGGGCTGACAGAAAAAGAGGTAATAATTGGCAGGGACTGCAGCAAGCTCTTCTGTGGGTGGACCCCTGCACCACTAGTATGAGCCAAGGCAACCTTGGAGGATTAGGAATGGAAATGACAAGCGTAAAATGAGAGAATATGACCCTTTTATTCCATTTCACAGGAGAGAAGGACAATCCAAGAATAGGAAATGGTCTGGAGGGGAGCAACAAAACAACAGAGACCGTGGAGGTCTCCCAGGGAGGGGGAAAAAATCATTGGCAACAAACGACCGTGCTGACTAATCCTGGCAGCAGGGGTCTGAAGGCTGACTCAACATACCCTTTACTGCATCGCAGCTATCATTAGCTCAAGCAAAACCAATACAAAGAAATACCTACCTTTTTTTTTTTTTTTTACAGATTAGACACATTTTTACTGTCAGTCAAAGATAACCAAAGTCAATAAAAAAATTGCAGCTTTTAAATAATGTTTTGACTTATTAGAGGAAATGTAATTTCTCCCTAAACCTAATAACTGTTTGTGACTCCTTTGGGGCCATCAATTGCCTTAAA